TCTCACTCACTCACTGGGCCTGCGCTCTGGATCTGTTCAGGATCCCGCGGCCTGGGTCGTCTCACTCAGTTGCCGGGCCTGCGCTCTGGGTCTGTTCCTATTACAATTATTAAAATGCATTTATGACATAATGTCTGGCAGTCCATTTTGTAGATATGTGAAAATTTAGGTATTCCCTTATTGTTTTGCATTCAGACTATCCCTGCAAGTATTTTCAAAATGAAGGTATACTTCTGTAAAAAAAAAAAAAAAAAAAGATGAACTGATTCTTGGGAAAGTGAAACCCAAAGCTCCGCCACCCAGCCTGACTGACTGCATTGGCATGGTGGACAGCAGGGCAGAATCTATTGATGAGAAAATTTCCCGGCTGGACACTGAGCTAGTGAAGTACAAGGATCAAATCAAGAAGATGAGAGAGGGTCCTGCAAAGAATACGGCCAAGCAGAAAGCCTTGTGAGTTCAAACAAAAGCAGATGCACGAATAGCAGCAGGACAATCTTGCTCCACAGTCCTTTAACATGGACAAGCCAACTAGACCATCCAGTCATTGAAGGACACCAAGACCATGGTGGATGCTATGAAACAGGGAATAAAGGAAATGAAGAGAGCATACAAGGAAGTGAAAATCGATCGCATTGAGAATTTACAAGACCAGATAGAGGATATGACAGAAGATGCACATGAAACACAAGAAGCACTGAGTCGCAGTCATGGCACCCCAGAACTAGGTGAAGATGATCTAGAAGCAGAGTCAGATGCACTGGGTGATGAGCTTCTATTGAAGAGAGTCCATACTTGGATGAAGCAGCACCTGCCATACCAGAAGGTGTTCCCACAGATGCTAAAAACAAGGCTGGAGTCCTGGTGAATGAATTTGGATTGCCATAGATCCTTGTTTCATAGACTTTGGTCATTCAAGTACCTCATGTAAAAAAAAAAAAACCACATTCTGGGACTAGGAAATATTTCCAAGTTTCAAACAAATTTTGCTTTCTTTCCTTTCTTCAATGGAAAAGTTAATTATACAGTTTTTTTTTCTTTTTTTCCATTAAGAAACTCAGTGCTTCAGGTAAACTTTATACTAAAATCTGATTTTTTTCTCTTGTGAAAGACTAACTTAAAAGAATCTTTGTCTTTGACTTGTTTTCATTTATTAATAACTGAAATGAAATCAAGGAGATAAGAATCTTTAATAAGTTCTATGACAGTATAATTCTATAGTTTCAATGTGACCTTGATAAATTGATAACATAAAGATGAGAATTTTATCTTTTATCAAGGTTGTCTCGCTGCTGTTTGTACATCAGAAACATCATTCTGTTCATGTGATGTTCAGTACCATTTTCTATTGTGGCATTATAGGTGGCTTAATGATGGAATTTTGATAGGTTTTGTGGTCTTGTGAGCAAAGTAATGTGTCCAGTATTGGAATGGAATTGTCACTACTGTATCATGAGTGGACATTTTAATTTTATGGTTTCTTCAGTACTACAGTCTGACTTGTAATCAAATGAATATTTCTTGATATGTAATGTATAGGGCATTTATTTACGTTCAATAAATATTTTTCAAAAGGAAAAAAAACCCTAAGCCAGTATTTGATTCACAAATGGGCTCTGTTACTCATTTGTAGGTATTATTTCATGTTTTCTATAAAATTATTTCTTACTTATACAATGACTGTATTTTCTTGATTGAATTCAGCAATACTCTTCCATGTGAGTTGTCCTGAACCTCCTGGAGACACTTGATTTTGTGCTTACTTTAAAAATTAAGATTATCAACACTATCCTGGAGAGACACCAACTTCAAAAGTACAAATATTATGGTTCCACTTATATAAATCACCCACAAAATGCAAATTCCTGGAGATAGATGTACAGTAGTCCCTTGCTATTTCACAGTTCAGCTTTTGCAGAGTTTCACAGGTTTTCAAAAAAACAATAATCTAAATTATTTATCTCAGATTTTTTCACTATATTGAAGGATTTTGCAGTAACATACAGTATACCTAAGTTGCTAAAATTATGTAGGCTTATTAGTTTAGAAAATGGTTCAGAACATTAGAAGTGTTTTTTAAAGTGTGGGAAAGGCTTATGAGAGTACAGGAAGAGTTTATAAAGCCTTAAAATATATGTAAATATTAAAATAAATATAATGTTACTTGTCATGGGGGTGTCTGGAAGGTAGCCTCTGCAATAAGTGAGGGATGAGCCTTTGGAACCAGAGAGTAAGGGGGAGGTATTATTGGACGCAGAGTTTCAGTTTGGTAGAAGAAAAAGTTGTGGAGAAGTTGTGGAGATGGATGGTGGAGATGTCTGGGCAACAGTTTAAATACTGTACCTTTCATGCTATTGGATAATTAAATTTTTGACATGATAAATTTTATGTATATATGTTTTATCATATTTTTAAATCTTGGATTATTAATTCAGCTAGTTGTAGCTGTGTCTTGATTATCGAGAGGAAGTGGGTGATCAGGAAATACAGAGGTGACAGCGGAGTACAAAGGATGTGCCAGCAGCGTGGCTTCTGTAACTCGCATCCCCAAGGCTTTGTGGGCCTCGGTAGGTTCCGAGGGCTTTTCTCTAGTTCTAGGCATTCATCTGATTGTTACTGATGTAACATTTGACCAGAACAACCATAATACACATGAGACAGTGGAGTGATTTAGACTGTCTTAGATGATCTAAACTATCATTCTGTTGAACGTCACTGTGTCCTCTCCCGTCCTTGTACTCCATGATACAAAATTGAACTTCCTCCCAAAGATATCTTCCTCTAGAGAGTTAAGGAACTTTCTGCATGAGCTTTTTGCTATGATTTGTCTCATGTTGTCGCTGGCCACTTAGGTCCTTATGATTTGCTGCTATCTCCCCCAAAAGACATATGCAGTATGCTAAAAAGAAAAAGGCCTTATTTGAAGCTAGTTTCAAAGAAATGGAGGAAACTCATATTGTTACAAATCTCTGTGTATGCAAGAGTGTTTATAGAGTAAGGGCACAGAGAGGGTGTACAATGAATGAAAGAATAGAAAACTCCAGTCTTCCTTCATCTCTCTCAGGCATCTTGTCTCTCTCTCTTCCCTGTGGAAAGGAACTGGACTTTGACCTTCCAGGGCCAGCATCTGCACTGTCCATTTACCTAGGCTATGGAGCAGAGGGTGGACAGCCTACACCCTCAGCCTGAAGAAGTCTAGGGAGGTTGCTTGTCTCTGGAGGACAAAACTTTAACTTTTCAAGCTCTGTTTTATCCTGTTACCACATAGTCACCCCTTGTCTTTGCTTTTTCTCTTTTTTTTTTTCAGTACCAGGGATTGAACTCAGGACCTTAAGCTTGCTAGGCAAGCACGTATTCTACTGAGCTATCTCCCTGGCCCTTTCACACTTTGTCACATCACCTGTGCCAAACACTTAGTAAGGCTAGGGCAGATTTAAGCCAACTTCTATATACAGCCTCTATGATGTTCGCACAACTTAGGTGCCCTACCCATTCTTAGGAAAGTTGACATTTTTTTTCAACCTTTTTATGCGGTCAAGTGATTTTGCATGCAATTAGCTAAACACACTTTTAAGTTCTCCTCTTTTGTGCTTTGAGGATCTTATTTTTGTATTCTCATAACTTTGCACACTTCAGTCCTCTAGCTGTTTTGTTTTGTTTCTTGCTTCAGTGTCCTAGGATGACTTTTTCCTTCTGTTATTGAGTTGCCATATCTAGGATACATTTATTTTCCACCCGAGGTTGTTTCTACAAGTCATTGATTTCTGCTTTCATCTTTATCCATGTCTTCATTTCTGTGGTCATTTTTTTTCAATTTTAATTAAATTCTGCTGATAAGAACCTTATAATCTCTTGCTATTTTGGGTTTATGTTTGTTTTTCTGATTTTTTTTTTTCACATCTTGAGCACTTTGTTTTATCTGTACCTTTGGTGTACTGGGTTTGGCAAAAGTTTTGTCTTTTGATCCATAAATAAAATCAATGTTATCAAATTCTCCCTTCTTTTAGTGAACTTGAAATTGCACAAGTTCCTGCAATTTTCTGGAATGAAAGTTAGTAGGATGGGGGAGATTAGCAGACATTGTAAGCAATTTTGATTCAGGATAATTTCAAATCTACTCCCTAAGGGCCTCTGCTGAGGGAAAATTATTACTGCCCTTGGGACACAGAGATAATCTTGGAAGGACTGGCTGAGCCCTACCCTGTAACTCTAATGTCCTGTATTTAATGACTTACCATTTTTATCTGTTCTTTCCCTTAAAAAATGTGGCTAGTTTTTCTCTTGCCCCTCCTCAAAATCATTTCCTTGTGGATGTTTGAGATTGTAGGATAAAATGACTGAAGAAGTATTTTCAATCCCTCTTCATTCCAGAAGCCCTGGTCTGTGCTGCTCTGAATGTGTATGAGTAGAGATGTGCTCCTCTTCTGTGGTCAGCGTGGATCACAGTCTGCAAAGGCGCAAGGTTTTAGCTGTGATACAGCATTTAAACTACGGCACGCTGGAAGAAGCCTCGCATGCAAGACAATGAAAACAATATTACCACCAATAAATTTTGTACTCTGCAGTTAGACTCTTTTTTCTTTGGGACTGGGTTTCTTCTGGTAATGCAGAAAATTCTGTGTGACGATCTCTAAGTGTTGATAAAGGTTTGCAGGAGCTTGTAGCTGTAGGTAAAGGCCTCTGATATTGTGTCCCTGTATCCAGTCCCTGGGACATCGACATTGCCCCACACTGAGCAAGGGGAAAGAAGTCTGCTCATACAGATAAGGAAGAACGGGAAGTGCCTTTTGTAACTTCAGCCACACCCATGGCACACCCAATCAAGGAAGATATAAATGAGAACCTCTACTCAGCTCCCAGCCAAGGCCATTCCTGGCAAGATGAAGTCTACGGTCTTCCTCATCCTTTCCCTGCTCCTCATCCGGGTGAAGCATGCAGCTGGAAAGAAACTCCTTGGTGAGTGGAGAGGGACAGTTGGGGGAAAGACACACAAGGAAAATGCCCTATAAGGGCGTTCTGGGTATGAACAGAGAGACAGTAGAGCAGAGCTTCTTCTCCCGAAAGACACTGAGTCTTTCCCACCCACAACCACCTTCCATGGGGATCTTCAGGGAGTTCATAAGGAAACAATTCTTATTACCAATATTACCAGGGGGAGTAGCAAGGCCAGTTACCAAATGGATCACACCAATTACCAAATTAGACAATAAAGCCAACATTGCTCAGGACAAAAAGTCAAACAATAATCTGGATCTCAAAGCAGATTTAGATCTGAATCAAACAGCAAGTAGATGACAACTATCATGACTAGTAATAAAGATAAAACCCATATTACTGGCATTTACAATATGGAATGACAGGATCAGGCTGTCACCAGCTAGCCTATTTCTTAGGCCTCACAAAAGATGGAAATTGGAAAAAGACTAGGTTGAAAATGAAAATAAAATGCAACTTTATGATATGGAAGAGACATAAAAGGAATCCTTCTAGACAACCCCAGGAAGAAAACAGCTAATCTGGCTACTGTAGAGACACAGCAGGCCCTTACAAAATACAAATTTCTCTTTTATAAGGTCTCAAGAGAATGTCATTTTTAAAATGTCATTAATTATCTATTTTCTAAGGAAAGAACTTCAGATAGGGCAGAGTTTCAGTTACTATATAGCTAATCATATCTCTAGCCCATCATCTATGCTCCATTATCCAGCAATTCTATTTTTAGCTAATTAAGATATAGGGGCTGGCCAGACAGCTCAGTGGACTAAAGCACCTGCTTAGGCAGAGCACAGTGGCTGGGGTTTGATGCCCGGCATGCCATGCCAGCCCCACCCCTGGGGTGCACTGAGAAGGCAATTAAGACAGGGCATGGTGGTGCGCCCCTGTAATCCCAGTGCTTGGGTGGCTGAAAACAGGAGAATCACTATGAGTCAGATCTATGTAGTGAGACCCTGTAGACCCTGTACTAAATACATTTTTTAAAAAGATATATATATAAAAATATTCACAGCAAAATACTTACAATAGTCAAAACTAGAAATACCCTAGGGCTGGGAAGATAGCTCGGCAGGTCTAAGAGGCTGCCTGGCAAGAGCAAGGACCCAGACTCCATCCCTGGTACTGCGTTCCGGCCCCACCCCAGGCATGCTGTGCCAGCCAGGCAGGTCACTGAAACTAGGCATGGTGGCACATGCCTGTAATCCCAGCACTAGGGAGGCTGAGACAGGAGGATCACTGCAAGTCTGAGCTGAGTAGCAAGACCCTGTACTAAATAAATAAACAAATAAAAGATTTTTTTAAATTAAAAAATAGGTAGAAATACCCAGTGTATATCAATAATAAAGTGGATATAAATATTTTGATATTGGCATAGAATAAAATAATAAGCAGCAATCACCATATATAAACCTTAGGACTAGACTTCAAAAGATAGATTTCAAAAATGTGATGTCAAGAAAAGTACAGTATATTGAAATGACAGTTTCATTTATGTAAAATTTAAATATGCAAATTACAAATTAACATAAAATCCAGGCAGGTGTTATCATGGAGGAAGAAGAATAAAGCAATTAGTAAGGGTTATGAGACATAGAGATAGTATTTTTGTTTGCCTACTTATTTTAGTGTTATTCTTTAAAGAACATAGGTATTTTTTTACACTCATTTTTGTTTGCATATTTATTCAGCAGTAATTTTTAATGCATACACCAACATTCTCACACTGTTTATATCTCCCTTCTAGTTTCAACCTTGGTGGATATGTGGTTTGAGTCCAGTGAGAAAAGGAGTGGGTTGCAACCCAGAGTTCATTATCCAACAAGCAACAGCAGTTTGCTTTCTTGCTTGCCTCACACCAATCTCCACTCAGTGACTCTCAGATGTCAGGTCTGAAAACATCTGATTACGGGTATTCATTTTTATTACTCTGAACTCTTGGCAGCAAAGATAGACACCAAGTCAAATTAGCTTAGATAGAATTCCTTTGCTTATAACCAAATTGTAAGAAAGGCAGGGGAACAGTTGTTCTCAAGAATGAAGAGCAAAAAGGGCTGGTTGATGACTTCAGTGTTTTTCTCATCATCTTCTTCATTTCTCAGTAGCTGACATTTATTTTTCTCAGACAGTGCACACCACAATGGAATCAACAGCTTCCAGAATCCCAAGCTCTTCCTCATTCAAATAAATTGTTTCAGAATTCATTTTCTCCCTCTGTCTCTCCCTGTCTCTCTGTCTCTCTGTCTCTGTCTGTCTCTGTTTCTGTCTGTGTCTGTCTGTCTGTCTCTCTCCCTCCCTCCCTCCCTCCCTCTCCCTCTCCCACTCCCTCACACACACACAACTTGTGCACCTGTGTATAGGAGTCTATGATAGTAGCCAGGCTTTCATTATTAATGATACTTATGAGACTTATATGTTGACTTTATTAATGAGGAGGAGAGGGAAGAAGGAAGAAAAGGAAGAAGGAAGGAAGGAAGGAAGGAAGGAAGGAAGGAAGGAAGGAAGGAAGGAAGGAAGGAAGGAAGGAAAAAAGGAAGGAAGGAGGGAGGGAGGGAGGGAAGGAGGAAGAGGAGAGAGGAAGGAAGGAGGAAAGGAAGGAGGTAGGGCATCACTCCAGGGGACTACTGTCCTCCTGAGAGTGGACAACAAAACCTTGTTTCTACTTTTATATTGTTTCTATTCTATAGGGAAATTTTTTACTGGAATCAGCAAAAAGTAAAGTTACAGAGGCAAAAGCAATGCTTAAAGGAAAGGAGCAGTGATCAGGGGCCATTGAGTTCACACAGGCCTTTCCAGCTCTGCTCTGCTCCACTTGTCTGGGCCTCACAGCTCTACCCATGGCCAGGCTCATAACCATCAGTTTCCTGGGAGAGCTTAGCTGCACAGTTTCCCCAGGGAGCTTGGATACACAGTTAACCCATAGTTGTCCAGTTTCACTCCAAGTATATGGTCTCCTCTCTCAATTTCTAGGGTATCATCTCAATCCAGATCTAGAATTTCACCTTCTAGTTACTTTCATGGTGCCTCACAAAGGTCACCTACAAAATATCAATCAGTCTTTAGACTTTCTTTTTTTTTTTTTTAAAGCACATCTTTATTTTCTATTAACCATCAATTTAGGTACAGACTTTTTGCGCTTATTTATTTTTTGCAATACTAGGGATCAAACTCATGGTCTCGTGCTTGCAAGGCAGGCACTTAAGCCACTCAGCTATCTCCCCAGCAGTCTTTAGACTTTCAAGGCATATTTGCCTTGTACAGTTTTTCTCAGGGCCAGGAAATAATAAATTAAAAAGTCTAGCTTGATGCTAAGAACAGTAAAATAATAGAACAGGTCTAGAATGGGCTGCTAAGAGCAGGGCACAATATGGGAGCATTCTCAGTAAGATTAGAAGTCCTAGTGACTTACTAAATGACTGTAGGTGATTCCTTTGTCTTCTCTGGGTCTGTATGAAAATATGAAGAATATGGTTATGACAGTAAGGGCCAGCCAGAACTGCTTGTTAACGAGAAAGTGGGACAGATTTGGAGGCCATCAGAAGTGATATAACATAATGCCTATCACTTATTCCTGGGAATAATTTTTTATTAATTTTATTGAGAAACAAATGGCAATGAGACAGTTTCAAAACAGATTAGTAGAACAGTTACAATAATTAATACATTTCATATTGTTGTCTTTGTAGTAGTTATTCATAGTACGAGATGCAGACATGATATCCTGTCCGAACACTATTAGTAGAAATCTTTCTTCTCATTGAATTAAGAGAAATAGCTATATATCTGTCCTAACTATTTTGTATATACAGATATATATATATATATATATGTAATTTTACTATAAAATGGTCCTTCATTTATATCCCACTTAAAATGAACAATGTCTACAATTCAATGAAAATCAAGCACAACTTATCTGAATTTATGGGATGCGATGAAATTAATTCTTAGAGGGAAATTTATAGCTGTGAACTCACACATTAGGAAAACAGAACGGGAACAAATAAACACCCTAATGCTGCACCTCAAACATCTAGAAAAGGAAGAGCAAACTAAACCCAAAGTCCTGTGAATAATCTTTAGGAAAACCCCAACCTGCTTCCCAGAAATCAGTAGCTATTTCCTGGGGAAAGCCAAGGAAAAGTTTCTCCCACACAAAACCACGAACTTGTGTCTGGTGCCAAGATTCCTTGGGCTGCATAAAGCAAAGGTTGGCCCCATTTTCTAGCCAAACATCTTCCTGAGAGTGTGGACACCAGCTTTTTGGTGTAATTATATTTCTCATCTTTGAGATGCTGGCAGCAGAGGCAACTTCCATAAGAGATAAGTGAACAATAGACATGGAGGAGCCAAGTTGGGATAAAGAGAAGCTCTCAGGGGCCTCCTGGGCTCAAATAGCATTTCTGAAGTAGGAAGCATGGCTGGAGCCCATGTATCAGCCTTGTGGCTGTCACTTTCACATCCAGAAAAAGCAGGAAAACAGACCCATGCACACTGTTCAATCAGTGACTGAGATATGAGAACTGTTTGTACAAGCCATACTGTTATGTGGCCTTGGCATTAGGGGTCCTTATCAGTGCTAAACATGCAGGACTCACTCGGGGCCCTGTCTTTCTGCCCTACTTAAAGCACTTACATAGTTACCCTGTAGAAGTGGATTAAGAACAACCAGGGCCTCAAAAACCATGCAAGTTGAGGACTACTGGTTCATAAAAAGGAAACCAAGACAGAGAGAGAAGTGAGGAATTGCCAGTTAATTTCTAGAGCTAGGATAGAGCTCAAGTCTCCTCGCATACAGCTGAGGATGTTTTCTTCCTCCTCAGAATTTCCTCAGAAGTGATAAGGTATCCTTCTCATTTCTGGGTGTGAACCCAGTCTGAGATGAGCTCCTGAGGAACAGAATGGAAGACAGAGGAAAAACACACCCACACCAGGGAATGGTGATACTTTAGCCCAAGTCTCCAAAGAGAATGGACCAGTCTTTCAGGAGCACAACTGCAAGCTGTCCCCTGAGCATCTCCCCCACTTCTGGGCACAAGTTAGGACACACTGCAAGAAGCAGTGCTTGGACCTATGGGAAAAACATGGTAGTGAAAAAAGCACAAAGGGTCTAAATGTAGGTATGTTTTTTTCTTTTAACAGTTGCTGTTAAAGGACAAGAAACTGTGCAAGGTCATGTTTGGACCACACAACAGGATCCTGTGGAAGAACAATTTTTAGTTCAACAAAAAGACCCCATGATCGATCACATTTGGGTCAATGGACAAGATTTTGTGGAAGAAGAAGACTCAGTTAAAGGTCTCAGCCCTGTGAAAGGTCACATGAAGGTCAAAGGACAAACTCTCATGGGAAAAGCAGTTTCCATTAAAGGTCATGGTTCTTTGAAAAGTCGTATGCAAGTCAAAGGACAAGATCTCATGGGAGAAGAACTTTTAGTTCAAGGTAATGATCCAGTGATCAGTCACATTTGGGTCAATAGACAAGATTTCGTGGAAAAGCCAGTTTCAGTTAAAAGTCTTGGCGTAATAAAAGGTCAAGGTTACTTGAAAGGTAAAGGCTCTCTGAAAAATCAACTACAGATTAAAGGACAAGATTCCATGGAAGAAATAGTTACAGTTAAAGGTCTCCACCCTGTGAAAGGTACCATACAGATCAAAGGACAAGATCTCACGGGAGAAGAATTTTTAGTTCAAAGTACAGATCCAGTGATTAGTCACATTTGGGTCAATGGACAAGATGTTGTGGAAGAAGCAGTTTCAGTTAAAGGTGTTGGTGCAGTGAAAGGCCGGGGTTCTGTAAAAGGCCGGGGATCTCTGAAAAGTCGGGGTTCTCTGAAAGGTCGAGGTTCCTTGAAAGGTCATATTCAAGTCAAAGGACAAGATCTTTTGGGAGAAATAGTTTCAGTTAAAGGTGCTGGTGCAGTAAAAGGTCGGGGTTCTGTAAAAGGTCGAGGTTCTGTGAAAGGTCGGGGTTCTCTGAAAGGTCGTGGTTCTTTGAAAGGTCAAAGTTCTTTGAAAAGTCACATGCAGGTCAGAGGACAAGATCTCACTGAAGAATTTTTAGTTCAAGGTAAAGACCCAATGATTGTTCACATTTGGATTGATGGACAAGATTTTGTGGAAGAAACACCTTCAGTTAAAGGCTTCAATCCTGTGAAAGGACACATGCAGATCAAAGGACAAGATATGTTAGGAGAAACAGTTCCAGTTAAAGGTGTTAGTGCAGTGAAGGGGAAGGGTTCTGTGAAAGGCCAGGGTTTCGTGAAAGGTCGGGGTTCTGTGAAAGGTTGGGGTTCTCTGAAGGCTCAGGGTTCTCTGAAGGGTTGGGCTTCTGTGAAAGGTCAGGGTTCTGTGAAAGGTCAGGGTTCTATAAAAGGTTGGGGTTCTGTGAAAGGTCAGGGTTCTCTGAAGGGTAGAGGTTCTTTCAAAGGTCACCGACAGAGGAAAGGACAAGATATCCTGGATGGATCAGTTTCAGTTAAAGGTCTCCATCCTGTGATAGGAGGCACACAAGTCAAAGGACAAGGCCTTTTGAAAGAAGAATTTTTGGTTCAAAATACAGAGCCAGTGACCAGTCAAATTGGGGTTGATGGACAAGATTTTGTGGAATCAGCAGTTTCAGTTAAAGGCCTTGGTCCTGTGAAAAGCCACATGCAGATTAAAGGACAAGCTCTCTTGGGAGAAACAGTTTCTGTTAAAGGTGTTGGTGCAGTGAAAGGCCAGAGTTCTATTAAAGGCAGGGGTTCTGTGAAAGGTCGTAGTTCTCTCAAAGGTCATGGTTCTATCAAAGGTCGTGGTTCTCTCAAAGGTCGTGGTTCTCTCAAAGGTCATGGTTCTCTCAAGAGTCAACTACAAGTGAAGGGTCAAGATCTCCTGGATGAAACAGTTTCAGTTAAAGGTCTCCATTCTGTGAAAAGTCACATGCAGGTCCAAGGACAGGATCTCTTAGGAGAAACAGTTTCAGTTAAAGGTGGTGTAATGAAGGGGCAGGGTTTTGTGAAAGGTCAGAGTTCTGTGAAAGGTTGGGGTTCTGTGAAAGTTCGGGGTTCTCTGAAGGGTAGGGGTTCTTTCAAAGGTCACCGACAGATGAAAGGACAAGATATCCTGGATGAATCAGTTTCAGTTAAAGGTCTCCATCCTGTGATAGGTGGCACACAGGTCAAAGGAAAAGACCTCTTGGAAGAAGAATTTTTGGTTCAATATACAGAGCCAGTGACCAGTCAAATTGGGGTTGATGGACAAGATCTCCTGGATGGAGCAACTTCAGTTAAAGGTCTCCACCCTGTGAAAAGCCACATGCAGATCAAAGGACAAGCTCTCTTGGGAGAAACAGTTTCCGTTAAAGGTGTTAGTGCAGTGAAAGGCCAGAGTTCTATTAAAGGCCGCGGTTCTGTGAAAGGTAGAGGTTCTCTGAAGGGTTCTCTGAAAGGTCGGGGTTCTCTGAAAGGCTGGGGATCTGTGAAAGGAAGGGGTTCTCTGAAGGGTAGGGGTTCTCTCGAAGGTCACCGACAGATGAAAGGACAAGATTTCCTAGATGAAGACATTTCAGTTAAAAGTTTCCATCCTGTGGAAAGTCACATGCAGGTCAAAGAACAAGATCTCTTGGGAGAAACAGTTCCAGTTAAAGGTGTTGGTGCAGTGAAAGGTCAGGGTTCTATGAAAGGCAGGGGTTCTGT